ATAGATTTAGATATTAATTTAGATATAGATAGACAGATAAGATAATTTAAGATAAGATAGATACATTTATATACCTGTTCCCTTTGTTTGGCGTTGAGGTCGGATTGTACGCGTCCCTGTGGTGGCGGCCTTCGTACACGAAAGCGGGTCATTGAGGCTCAAGGGCGATACTTTATGATACTTCAATCTTTTTGGATGTAAGTTGAATGATGTCCAGAGATGCTGTGGAGGAACACGTGATTTTTCATCAGAACCACTGCATTCAATTGAGCCCCTTGGCAAGGTCACACAAAAATGAGAGCTTTGTCTCCCCATTTTGTCGTGCGTCTGCCATGCTTCGTGCCACCTCTTGCCAGGTTGAAGCCAGAAACGGTGGGTATCCATTTTGTGGAGCTTTGAAGGTGTTCGGATCCGAGCCGATCCGCATGCTCGCAGGCACAGTCCCTTTTCAAGTCTTTTTAAAGGGTGACCATGGCTATCCATGGGGAAAGTAAAGGACGGTAAAATCTACGGTTCAACTAAGTACAGGTGCCTTGTGTAGTCCACCTTTGCTGACCTCGTGCAATCTGATTTGTTTTTGCGACGGATGCATACTATCCAGCATACATATTCCAGGCCGCTTGCATCTTCAAGCATGGTTTTTCCAGGGGAAGTAGTCTACACGAACATTAGTTACATGAATATGGTACATCATGATGGACATGTACTTAGTATTTTTCAATATTCTCTTTACCAAGGTTGGAGCCATGCAACGTGGAGACTTGTGGCACCGGAGATGGAAAGATAGGCGCTGCTGATTTATTCTGAACTTCGATATCGACATATGTATTATAAGTTATATTATCGAAGGTCTTTAAAAAGAATCATGGCTTGCTTCAAAGGGGGGGTCTTCAATGATAGAGGGGAGGTCATGGAAGCTATTTAGCCCTAGAAAAAGCTAATCTTTTCCATGCATGCTCAGAGACAGAATTGCTTGGGCCAGCAGCTACATTTTGGCCCAAAAACTCGACCCCAAACAGGGGGAATATGCCTTCGCATAAGAAGAAGAGGATCCCTGGGAAGTCTTCACTCCCAGCTGACTATGCTCATCCTATGGGGATGGGGCCCATGGGATACCCCCACCCTGGCTTCTGGATGCAGCCTGGGTTCTTTGGCTTTCAAGGGTTGCTTCACACTTGACAGAAATTCAAGTCATGATTCAAAGAAACCACTTCTTCAGTTCTGATTTGCTGAAATGGTATTTGAGAACAATGTACATGTTTAACATTTGAACCTTGTTGGCTCCTCAGGGCCAATGCAGTGGAAAGTGAGTCTGAGGAGGAGGAGGAGAGTGAAAAGAACCTTTGGCAACCCACAGAGGTGACTTCATAACAAATTGAAATAATTGTCACAACATTTCAACTGATGATTCTGGCTGAATACCATGTAAAAAATGACTACAGACTTGTGGGCAGAGTGCAGACTGTTTACCAAAAAAACATGCATTAGATCAGATGTCACAGTGTCTGAAGATGATTGCACTTATTATGCCAGAAATAAGTAGGACTAGCTAAGGAAGCCTAAGAAGGAAAAGAAAAGCAAACAGAAGAGTCGAAGAAAGTCAACTGGGAAGAAGTCCAAAAGCAAAAGAAAGAGAAGTCACTAGTTTGAAATTAGGGCCCAGGGCCAGTTCAGTTTAGATATTGCATGCCATGTTGTTTTCATTGGACTTTCATTGCCACAGCCAACCCTACTTGGGTGCCTGCCTTGCTTGCTCAGGCCCAAGCACATCTTCCTCTAGTGAGAGCAGTGATGGCTGTTCTGATGCAGAGTTGGATGAGAAGCCCCTGAAGCAGCCCCATGGCTGGGCATGGCTGCATGGGGGTTGGGGGACATATATAATTGGCAGCTGCATCAATTAAATCCAGAGATGTTTGATCATGTTTCATGACTGGGGGGCTTGGTGGACATATATAATTGGCAGCTGCATCAATTAAATCCAAAGATGTTTGATCATGTTTCATGAATGTGAAAAGCTTTGGTGCCAATTCAATTCATCCCTTTCTGAGGCATTGGATTTATTTGGGGCCTGCTTGTGGGCCTGATTCTGTTGGGAAAGTGCTCCAGAGGAAAAATTCATTGCCTAGGCTGCAGACTTAATTTGACTTTGCTTGGCAGTATTATTGTGCTGTCTTGTTTTCAGACAAACAATCCACTGCAACTGAATTGCAAATTATCCACTTCAATTTACTTTGGGTCATTCATGCAATTGTCATGCCATCATATGGGTTTGATATTATATGATAATAAATTTCTAAGGGCAGAGAGGGTCAGGCAGATCAAGCACTTCAATGAAGACAGGCTGACACCTGGCAACTTGCCTGGTGAGTTTTGCAATGGGACAAGATGAAATGGGTTTGCCACTGAGTCACTGAGTCATCATTCTTTGCCATTATTTGCCATTGTTAGGGTTTTAAGTGTTTGTGATGAGCAGTTTGGATTTGCTGATTGCTGTATTAATATGTTTGGTTGATTCATGAAGGGGCCTAGCTGCTGGCTTGAGGTAATCTGTCTGGCCTTGATGATGTTCAATTGGAGATGATCCACTACATTTGCACAGGGCTGTTCCCCAGAACATCAATCAAAGACCTTTGTGTTCGAACTAGGGGTGATTTGTGGCTTGCTTGCAGGTGCATTGACGACATGTTTGATGCACATGCACAGTGCTATTGTTTGTAATGTAATACACTGTAGTGGTATTTCTTGGTGCAGGGGGGGTGCCCCTTGTGAGGAGAGATGTGCTCAAACATGCTTGGAACAGGAAGCAAAAGGACTCAGGGAATGACAGGCTTGCAACCCTAGCTGCCTCTTGGCTGGGCCAACCTTTGATGTGAGACATTCACTTGAAGGAGTTTGTTGTTACAATAATGATAGACATTTCATGAATGTTGTATGTGTTTCTGTACAGCTGGGATTTGGGTCAGATCTCAGATCTCTCTTCAAGGATGACATGGGCAATGTGGAGGAAGTGGCTGTAGCTTTGGGATGGACAAAGCAGTTTCAGCAAAAGAAAAGGCCAGGTCATACAACTGTTAGTCAATTTACAGCATGAAAATGTATATTATTGAATTGTAAAGTAGGTAATTACTTCTTCTTGTGTGGGTTGCTGCATGCCCATGAATGTTTCTGTAGGCCTGGCCAGATGGACCCTGAAGTGAACTTGAGCCAGCTCCCACCCTACTCAGCTACCAAACTGCCACTGGGTTCCTTATTTACCATAATTGGTTGTTTCAGTTCACACACCATGGTCAGTTTCTGCTGGCTGTTTGAAGTTTGGGTACAACTGGATACAGAATGCAACCCAACTTGGTTGACCAATGGGTGCTTTGGTGGCCTTGAGGATGGATGGCAGCATCAATGTGTCCAACAAGGACAAGAGCACTGTCCTAATGCTTGGGCCTCCTTTGTCACCTGCAACATTCATCTACAGGGACCAGGTGTACCACATGTGCATGCCAGCCACTGACAAGTATGCTGAGATACTTGTTTTGGGTTTGGCATGGGCTAGGATCATCCATGACATTTAGTGTGTGCACTCCCATGGCAACATCTTCATGCAAACATCAATAGTAATAGTATGATATAATTTATGAACACCCATGGAACAATACTCATGATGTCATACATTTATTTTGTTTCAATCAGCTGAGGAAGACTATGCCAATCACACAGATCTTTGAGAGCCCCAATGGTGTGCAGAAGTGGTATGGACTAGTTGCATTTGGCTTGCACTACCATTCCAAAGCCACCCATATGGTATGCACACATGAATTTGCAATTGGTTGTTGCATATGGCCATGCAGCACCCAGGCAGAATGTGCTGTGCTTTGTGACAGTCAGCCCTGGGCACAAAAGTACATTGAAAGTTCCACCAGCCTCTTGGTGGTGTATGTCCTGGTGGGGGGGGCTATGTCTTGGCATGTGGTGTATGGCATCTTTGATTTCTGTGTGTATTATATATGTGCATTGGTGTGCCATGCCAAGGCAAGGGTGAAAAGCACTGGCAGTACCTCCAAATCCAGAACCTGAAGCAGCAAGTGCCAGGCAACATTCTGTTTGACTTTGATGCTTGTTTGGTATTGAGATGGCACCCCTCAGCCTAAAATAATGAAGTTGTTATGACTAGTGTTTCTGTTTCTGCATTTTCATGTGCATGGCTTTTGTTGCCCCACCAGCTGCTGGGCAGGCATGCCACCTCCTCCAGTTGCTCTTCCCCAAGTTCCATCAGCACCTCCACAGTCTGATGCTGGAAGCATGTCTTCCTATGATACCAGTGCAGCTTATTTGAACCTTGGGGCATGTGGGGATGGGGTCAGGCATAGTGATGGGCATGGGCAGTATGGATCATTGGCAATGGGCACCACAATGAAAGTTGAGTGAAAGATGTTTTGTTTGTGGGGTTACCTTGGCCTGGCTTTCCACATGTGTTTTGCCAATGCACCCCTGCCTTTTGAGGCAGCTACTGGGCAGTGGCTTGGCAAGAGCTGGGGCTGGGTGGTGGTCTCTGTTTGGTGCATGATGTTTTTGTTTGTTTAGTTATTGAACCCAAAAAACCCATTGCCATCATTTGTAGAAGTGTTTGGGTTGAATGGCAGCAAGGTGGTGAAGAGTTTGGCACCAATCACATGGAATGGGCTTCTGGTTTTGATAGTTAGTAACTAAGTAGCTTGGTGGGTGCTGGGAGGGGTTGTAGGTTTCTTCGTTAGACGGGACAGGGGATACATCTCAGCCGGAGGTTAGGGGAGACCGTTAGAGCGCGGGCCAAGGGGCAGGGGGAGGGAGGGGCTCCAGCCTATAGGCCGCGGGGTTATTTAGGTCAGGGAGGGCAGGAGGGCTTCAGGAGGAGACAACAAAGGGATTAGGTTTAGGGCGGTGAGGTTAGAGGAAAAGGTAGGTAGGTTTGATGCCATATTTCATATTTGCATATGCAAAGCCATGTCATGGTGTTTTGCCATGCAGCCTCAACCCAAGGCAGCCAGGTTTCCTTGGGCACAAGGAGTTGCAAGCACAGCAGCCACCAGCAAGAGAACTGAGCCAGGCAGAGTTGGCATGGGGAGCAGCAAGGGGGTACAACTTTGCAGCCACAAGCCAGCAGCCACAGCAGCTTGGGCAACAGCAATGCAAAGGCATGCAGCAACAGCAGCAAAGTATGGTGGCAGAGCAAGCATGGCAGCACCAACCAACTTGCCCACCCCAACAGTGCCCAGTACCAGGTCAGCCACAACCATGCCAAACACCACAGCATGCACAAGGCATGGTGCTGCACCAGCCAGCAGGCATGGCAAACATGCACCAGCAAGGCCAGCAGCCACAGCAGTGTGGCACACCACAGCAGAGCCAGCCAACACCAGCAATGCACCAGCAACTGCCATGTCAAACACCAGAGGGCACAGGTATGGGGCAGCAAGGGTTGCAGCACCAGCAAGCACCAGCAATGATGGCACACCAGCAACAGATGGCAAACACCAGCCAGGCACAACATGGGCAGCAGCAGCACCAGCAACTGCCAGGTCATACACAGCAGCTTCCACAAAGCCTGGGGCAGCAGCACGGGCACCAACAAGCACCACACCTGCCACAACAGGTACAGCCAGGGGCAAGCACACAAGTGCAAGGCCAGCAGATGCAAGCACCACAAATGGGTGCAAACACACAGCAAATCCAAGGCCTGCAGATGCAGGCAGCACAGCCTGGGGCAAACACACAGCAAATGCAAGGCCAGCAGCAGATGCAGGCAGCACAGCCTGGGGCAAACACACAGCAAATGCAAGGCCAGCAGCAGATGCAGGCAACACAGCCTGGGGCACACACACAAATGCAAGGCCAGCAGATGCAGGCTCAGCCTGGTGCAAACACACAGCAAATGCAAGGCCAGCAGATGCAAGCACCACATCCTGGTGCAAGCACACAGCAAATGCAAGGCCAGCAGATGCAGGCACCACAAGCTGGTGCAAGCACACAGCAAATGCAAGGCCAGCAATGCAGGCACCACAAGCTGGTGCAAGCACCACAGGCAAATGCAAGGCCAGCAGCCAGATGCAAGCAACACAGCAGCATGGCACAAACTTTGTATACCCAAATGATGGCCAGGCCAACAGCAGGCACAGGCAACAGAGCCTGGGGAAACACACACATTGGCAAGGCCCCCAACAGATTGCTTGCAGGCAGCACCAGCGGGGGGCAGGCAGCAAATGCAAGGCCAGCAGCAGATCCAGGCACCACAGTGTGGGGTAACCACACCAATGCAAGGCCAGCAGCAGACCCAGGCAACACAGCCTGGGGCACACACACAAATGCAAGGCCAGCAGATGCAGGCACAGCCTGGGGCAAACACACAGCAAATGCATGGCCAGCAGGAGGGACAAGCACCACAGCCTGCTGCAAACACACAGCCAATGCAAGGCCAGCAGCAGATCCAGGCACCACAGTGTGGGGTAACCACACAAATGCAAGGCCAGCAGCAGGTGCAGGCAACACAGCCTGGGGCACACACACAAATGCAAGGCCAGCAGATGCAGGCACAGCCTGGGACAAACACACAGCAAATGCAGGGCCAGCAGGAGGGACAAGCACCACAGCCTGCTGCAAACACACAGCAAATGCAAGGCCAGCAGCAGATCCAGGCACCACAGTGTGGGGTAACCACACCAATGCAAGGCCAGCAGCAGACCCAGGCAACACAGCCTGGGGCACACACACAAATGCAAGGCCAGCAGATGCAGGCACAGCCTGGGGCAAACACACAGCAAATGCATGGCCAGCAGGAGGGACAAGCACCACAGCCTGCTGCAAACACACAGCCAATGCAAGGCCAGCAGCAGATCCAGGCACCACAGTGTGGGGTAACCACACAAATGCAAGGCCAGCAGAAGCACAGGCAGCACGCCCCCATGGGGAAAACCACTGCCAATGCAAGGCCAGCAGCATGACATGCAACCACAGGACTGAGGTAACCACACAAATGGCAAGGCAGCAGCAGCACAGGCAGCACAGGCCTGGTGCAAACACACAGCAAATTGCAAGGCCCAGCAGAAGGCCAGGCAAACAAACAGCCTGAAGCAAACACACAGCAAGGCCACCAGGCACAGCCAGCAAAGCCTGAATCCATGAAGCAAACAACACAGCCAGAAGCAAAACACACAGCAAGGCCACAGGCACAGCCAGCAAGCCAGCAAACACAAATCAAGACCAGGCACAGGCAGCAAAGCCTGAAATCCACTGCGAGCAAACACACATTTCAAAGACCAGGAACAGGACAAAGCCTAATCCTCCACTGAAGCAAACACACAGCAAGGCCAGCAGGCACAGGCAGCAAAGCCTGAACCCACTGGAGCAAACACACAGCAAGGCCAGCAGGCACAGGCAGCACAGCCTGAACCCACTGGAGCAAACACACAGCAAGGCCAGCAGGCACAGGCAGCACAGCCTGAACCCACTGGAGCAAACACACAGCAAGGCCAGCAGGCACAGGCAGCACAGCCTGAACCCACTGGAGCAAACACACAGCAAGGCAAGCAGGCACAGGCAGCACAGCCTGAATCCACTGGAGCAAGCACACAGCAAGGCCAGCAGGCACAGGCAGCACAGCCTGAATCCACTGAAGCAAACACACAGCAAGGCCAGCAGGCACAGGCAGCACAGCCTGAACCCACTGGAGCAAACACACAGCAAGGCCAGCAGGCACAGGCAGCACAGCCTGGAGCACAGCAGCAAACACCACAGGCAGCCAGCTCAGAACAGCAGCTGCAAGTTGGTGACTTGGATTATGTGCTGCATTGGGCAGGACATGGGGGACTAAGCATTTGGGCCCCAAACCCCAAGTTGTTGAAAAGGGTTTGCCATGCCATGTCCTGTATTGATATATGTAACACATGGCTAAGTAAATTAGGTTCAAGTGGTTGTGAGTATTGGTGGAAACATATAATATATGTGCTCATGAAAAATTCAATGAACAATTCCCAGCAATGCACAGCCTGAGCCTAGGTAACATCATCAATGATGTAGTTGTCCAGGAGGCTTTGGCCAGAAGGAAAGCTGCTTTGGCACTATGGCTGCAAAGGGGTTTCCACTATGTTCCCTTTCTAACTGTGATACTTTTGCATGTGAAAATGCCAGTGGCTATTATTATGGCACCTTAAACTTAGGCCTTGAAAATTGCACACTAGCTTGATGCCAAAGGTTCCAAGTGCACCATGACTACTATGGCCATGTTACCTTAGACTTTGAAGATTGTAAATCAGCCATGTGTGCCACAGGTTGTTTTGCTGGGGTGGCTGCAATTTGTCTAAGGCTGCAGCCCAGGGCAATGCCAGACCAGGAGCCAAGGATACCATCCACATTGCTGACTGAACTGGCAGGGTGGAGTTGGGTGTGACCAGCTTGGGCCAATCAGTTAGTGCTACCAGCTGTTGGGATGAATATCTTTTTGCAAGTAGGCAATACTGTAAAATGGATGATCACCCTTGGGCATGCTACCTTAGTTGGGTCACCATACTTATGATTTATGGTTGTGGTTTCCACCAAACAATATTCATTGAGAAGCAAAATATTGCAACAAATATAGTATTGAGTGGGTAGTGTTTACTGTCACTTATGTTTATTCTGGTTGGCAAATAAGAAGGATGTTTGATGTGCTGACCCAAGGGGAACATCCATTTTCAGTATGGGATGTCAGGGTGTACCCAGTGAGACAAGCATAATAATAGTATCATCATCTCACACATGGCTTGGTAGCCTAGTAGCTTTTGGGGCCCCATCATTGCTTGGTGGCTAGGAAGAAGTGGCAGGCATTGAATAAAGAATGTGCCTGAGCAACTGTTGGAATTTAAAAAAAACATGGTGTGTTTTGCCATTTGGGCTTTCATCATTTGCTCAGGCAGTTGTAGAGCCAGTCCTTTCCACAATCCATTTGGCAGTGGCTTCTAGGGTGGAATCTTAGAAAAAGGTGCTGCTGGGTCTATTTGAAAGCTGCATATTTTGAATGGTGAGTAAGTGCCATGCAATATGTTTGAAGTGAATTTGAGAGCTGATGTCTGGCAGTGTGGATGTATAAGCCTTAGTCATTTAAGCTCTGGCTTTCAGACTGTGGGCTTTGGTTTTATCACCCAGTTTTAATTTGAAAGCTGGCTGGCTCAACTTGACCCTTTGAACAAACTTTGGGGGAACAATCACTGCAGTGACTCAGTGGCCTCAGTGAATCGCCTGGCTGAACCTTGCTTGCATTTTGGGGGTGGGCTGATTGGTGATCAGTAGAATTAAGATCACAAATTCATTGCAGAGGTTGTGTGCATTGCAGAGGTTGTTACAGTGGGGGTGTTGGTGATCTTAAATGGAATGTATCAGTCAAGAACATGATGGATGTATGGTTGATATATAACATAGGGTGTGCTAAGTAAGATCAAAAATAGGCAGTGCTGAGAGTGCTGGGCTTTTCTGAGTTTCACATTTGAATCAAAATGCAGCAGCAGTTACACAAAATAATGGCAAAGAATTCCACTAACACCAACAAAATGGTGATGGGTAATTGGAATTGTGAGCCCCAAAATTAGCCTTGTAAAAAAAAAAATGGGCAGAGCTCTGTTTAGTAGGACTTGAAAATGAGGTGGATCCAGAGCCTTTCCCCAAATTTAGCTTTTTTTTAGCTTTTCTTAGCTTTTCTTAGCTTTCCTTAGCTTTGCTTAGCTTTCCTTAGCTTGTGCTAGCCCTGGGTGTTTGGGCCCAAATTTAGCCTGCTCAGGTGTATGTCTACTGGGCATCCCTATGGGAAGGGCAGTGGCAAGTGGCAGCTATACATGCCTATGCCCAGGGTCAAAGTGAAGGCCAAGGCTAAGGCTTCCCATGAGCCTGGGAGCAGCAGTGGCAGTGTCCACCAGAGAGCCCTTGATAGGAGGAATGACCCAAGCCCCACTGGCCATGAGAGCAGTTGCAGTGATGACTCTTGTTGAGCCATGGCTCAAACAACTTGGGGTATTGAATGGTATTAATAGGTCACCTTTATGTGTACCAGCTAGTGCTAGCAGAAATCATGGATGGCCCACCTAATTGCATATTCACTGTTGTGTTTTTGTTTAAGTATTGCTGTTTGTCTTTGAACACTTTGCATGGTTTCCAGGTGTCAAATGCCTTCTTGCTTCAGGTCATGTCCTGGACCAGAATGAGCAGAAGTGGGACCTGGAGGGGGTGATGAGGCAGGTTGTTGCTGGCACCACCACCATTGAGGAGGATCAGTTGGGAATGGGCATCAGCTGGGAAATGTTGACCAGGGTTACTTGGATTGGTTCCAACGATGCCAAAGTAAAAGTAGCAATCACAACAGTCACACTAGTTCTCAGCACCAGGTGTAACTATATATATAATGGTAAGAATTCATTCATTGGGCTGCTGGGCTCTTAGGTGAAAAACCTGGAGGGGAAGCCCATCAACAAAGTGATTGTGCACCAAGCACTTGTCAAGAAGCTCAAGGAACAGGAGTGGGAACCAGGCCAAATGATTGGTGTCAGGACAGTGGATTCACAGCTAGCATTTGGCTTGGTGTGGGTGCAGTGTTATTAATTGACATGGCAAAGAGTTTTTTGTGCAGTGGCCATGGAATTTGTTTGCAGTTTACACTTGCAGACTGGTTGTTCAGTTTTGTTGGGCAGCTGGCTTCAGGAATGGGCCATTGCCAAGATGGAGTTGCTGGACATGAGGAAACAGATGAGGGATGCTGCCAATAATTTGGGTCAGGCAAGTAACTTTAACTGCAATTGCCTGCCAGTGAAACTAGGCTTCATTGATTCATGCACTTGGATGTTTCACATTCAGATTTGCAGGCCAGCCCATGACATGGCATTGGGTTATTGAAGTAAAAAACTGATTGGGTAGGGCTTCTTATTGCAGCAAGGGGTGCCACCACCTTATTGAGGACAGCCTTTATGCCATCAGGGTGCCCACATCGAAAAAAGCCAGTGTCTGGGGATGTGGAGGGGTGCACCATGGCTTTGAATTGCCCACTATGCACAACTTGCCTTCGATGCAAGAAGCTGCTTGGTGGTTGAAACAAATGGCAATGTCAAAATTACCCTTTTGTGTATACACCCATGTGAGCATGGCTTGAAGATATAACTTGGCTTGGCAAAGCCTCATTGCTAGTCCAAGTATGGGCACCAAGTGAACCTACTAAGGCTGTGCAAGGCACATAGGCCTGCTCCTGGTGAAGGCTGCACATGCTTGAAGGCTGGCTTGTGGGAAACCAGGCACAGCTTCAACCACTAGAGTATCTTGGATTTAGCAGCTGACCATGTCAAATTGGCACGCAGCTGCACCATGTCTAATTATGCTATTATGTTGATGATGTGATGATGTTGGTGATGTTGATGGTGATGTTGATGATGATGTTGTTGTTGATGATGATGATGATTCAGTCTGTGCTTGCATAGTTAGTCAGTGCATAGTATGGTTCAAATTTTGCAATGGCCCTCATAGTTGAGCAACTAGCCTTGCACCTCAAGGTTACAGGTTCTGACAACCAGGTCCTTGTGCTGCCATGTGATGCGTGATATACATTCCTGGCTGCAAGCAGCAATAACGTGACCTGGCTCCTTTGGTGCAAACATAACAGACATAACAGACATAACATAACACTATAACATGACTGGCTTAGCCATGTTTGTTTCGACCGCCACCAGCAAGACAGTGTGACCAGTGTGAAGTTTGGGTGACCGCACTCTCTACTCCTTGTGAAGCCAGGGGACAAGCAGCTGCAAGCTGCGAACCCGTGAATTGCAAGTTCCATGAGTGGTCAAGCAAAAAGCTGAGGGGTGGACATTCTGGATCATTTCTTGTGGATGGGAGGCTCTGGAAGAAACATGTCTGTAGGCAAATGGAATCTAGATGTTGTGATCACACTGGAATATGAATGCGACATCGCGCTTTTCAGCAGCAAGATGCAGCTAAGTAGCATTTCATTATATATTATAATTGAATCTAATTCACAAAGAAACCTTAGGTATGGTAATAGCATATGCAATTTTAATCAATTTTATACTGCTGTCCTGCAGAGGTGAAATGCGTGGTCGGTTATAGTTATAACCATTGCAGACATCCAACAGCAGCTGAGGCTGGGGCGAGCCATCCTGCACCCAGCTTTGCGACAGACATAGGGTCCTTGGGCCTAGCTGCGTTGTTTCTTTTGAGTTGTTGTGGAAAGAGACCATGAAGATTATGAAGTTTGACTTGATCGAATTTGATAGATTTGATAGGTTCAGATGCTTTCCAGTTTTTTCAGCAAATAAAGCTACACGGCTATTTCACTCTGGGGGAGAGCAAGATGAGGAGATGTGTTTGCGTGTGTGTGTGTGTGCCTGTGTGTGTTTGCAAGCGTGCGTTCCATTGCGCCACCTCGCATGCGTCTCAAAAAGAAACATACAGTATGTGTTGTAAAAAAAACGTTTCGCTTCTTTAGACACGTTTTTTTTTCATTTTGGCACAAGTTTTGATCAGTTCCCAATTGCGATGGGTATACAAAGCTCCACAATTCACAGACAAATCCAGGAAGATACAGTAAGTTATTACTTATTGATCACAGCTGCTCTATGCTGTTTGATATGCGTCTTGAAGTGAGCTAGCATGAGCTAGCTGAATCAATTCTCCTCTTTTGCTCCACTACTGAGCGCAAGATAAACCGCTTGCTGAACTCCCCCTTTCCCATGGGACACT